ACCATAAGTAAATCAAGGCGGATAGGATTGAGGATCCTTTCATAGCCTTTAATTCTGGAAACAAAGTAGATATTTCCCAGCTCTGGTTTAAATTGGTTTCCAGACTGGGTGGACAGAGGTATAAGAGCTTTTGCTTAATAGCCTATCGATCCAGCAACCCTGGAAAAAATTTCCCCGCTAGCGGATGAGTCCCCATTCTCCAGGCTTGCAAGCCTTCACGTATCCTCCACTCAAATAATTCACTATATTTCTCTCCCTAGATTTTCTTCCTCACTGTTGCATCTGCTTCCCCTGCATTTGAGGGAACACCATTGAATCCGCTTCCCCTAAATTTGACGGAACAAGATCATTCTGGCCCTTTCCCCAGGATAACCGAAGTCTCTTCTTACCAATTCAGCTCTGAAGCTGGAAGTTCTGGCAACATGCAATCTCCAACAGCTTATTGATTTTCTCTAAATCCTTCTCTTCTTTCGCATGCTCGCAACCAGAAAAAGCCCAAGACCCAATCAAAATAACATCTTCCCTTTTCTCTCTCACTCTGCCCCTTTCTCCCTCTATCCATCTCTACGACTCCACCCATGAGAATTGGTTACCAAGAATTGCATGCCAAAGCTTTTATAGCACTCTCTCCTCAACATTCTCTGTTTGGCTTGGGATACGGTCAGTAACCATTTATTACTAACCTATGAGTAACTAAATCTGGACCTTTAGATCTAATTGGCCCAGAAAATTCAGATCTAAGGGTTGTGAATTAAATTCATTTTATTTTCCCTAGTTTTCTTAATCGACTCTTATCTACTTCGTTCTAACTCGGATTTCAATTTTTTTGCACAGATGGAACAAGTTCGTTGTGCTCTACAAAATGAGATCAATTTTCAATATATTTCGAGAAACTTTTTTCATACCTCATGTTACCAACTACATACCATATGGTAACTTCTTCGTTTTTAAGTCATTTTTGAAAACGTTTGCTCAGAAGAAACGAGTTCATCATGATCTATTGGATCTACAAATTTCTGGTTGAAAAAATGCAGGACCAAACTTACCATACTTTACCACTATGGTACGTGGTTGGTAACTTGTGGTCCTTATGTTGTCCTTATTATCTATTGTTAAGTCTTGTTAATTTTATATTGTGAAGCAACAACCTTACTCATTTCGCCTTCTTCTCCGGCATTTAAGCCGCTTGCCTGAGAGTTAGTATGTACGATGTTCTTTTCCCCACGAGAAACAATACTCCTCTATCTCAAAAACACAATCTTCCGAGGAAAAATATTTGAATTGAATACAAGCATGTTGAATACTAACCAACTCGTATTCTTCTCTAGGAGATGGGGGCCGAAACAAATGATACAAAGGGAGGACGGATGTTTAGTACTAACCAAATTTACCCATAAAAAGCCAAAACAAATTAAGGATAAAATTGTAAATTCAACCTTTGACTAATGAATCCCAAGTATACAAATTCAATATGAAATCCAACAAGCAAACAAGTACTTTTTAAAATTCAACACAAATCCAATATGACAAATCCCACATAATACTTAAAACACAAAATCAAGAGTTATACCCAAATCCTTCATTTTTTAAAATCCTACAAGCAAACGACCTCTCAATTGCCTTTTATGTTCAAAAGCATTCCCATCTCATCTCCTTTGGTTTTCTCTCTATGAAGTCAATACTTACTCTCCTTATTCTTCTACCTCGCTCTAAATTCTAATTAAAACCCCCTTTCTTCTTTCCCCTCTCATGCATCCACGGGATCCCTCTCTCCCCTCCATGCCTTTTGATTTCTAAACCATTCCCCTTCTCACATATCAAACTATTGTAACTAGCGAATCACCCAAACCAAACATTTGGCAGCAATGGATACCCACGCCGACGATGCTAATTCCATAGCATATTTTCAGTTCAGTGAGTACGGAATCATACCAAGCTCGTTTGTCCTCCTTTTCCAATGGATGATGAAGCCTACTCAAGTCGCCAGAATATCAGTGACCGACAGGGATGCCACAGACTCTCCCAGTGTCGAGGGATCGCCCAGACGCAAATTCAAGTTCTTTACCTACGAGCACCAGCACATGTCCTCGTCTTATCATTGGCTCGACCCCGTTTCCACAATTTTGTTTCAAGTTTCACCTCTCCAAGGTTTCACTTGCCGGGGGCGTGATAGAACGTGTACTTAGCTCAGCTGACTCTTTCAACATTCTGTTATCTTTTTGTTCCATATTCTTAGCAAGTGGTTTCACCCACAACCCTTAGGAATAGCTGAGCATTGTTACATCCCATTGTTGTATAAATATGTACTCTCAATAATAAAAGAATTAGATTTCGCATTACATTTACAGTGTCCTTGGGTGAAGTTAAAACTAAGGGTCGCTTGTCACGACTTTAATGAACCATAGAAGGATGATGCTTTTGGGAATAACATTGGTGATAAGAGAATTGGTGAGGACTATGAGCTTAATTGTCTAGGTTGTTGTGATGTGGCTGTAGCTTCTTTCAAAAGTTTCAGCATTGGTTCCAGGGTGGGTTGTGGAATGGGTCTGGACTCTTTTGGACGAGGCAGAGTATACGGTTTCGAAGAGCCATATAAGGAGGTCTTGGTAGTCAATATTGGAGGGTTGGTTGATCTAAATTAGCAACAGGGTTGCAGGTTGTTCAGAGGTAGTAAGGAGATTGTGTTACAGTCCAGCTATGTTCTTGTTGATGTTTGTGATAGGGAACCAACTCCAGGCTTTCAGGAGCCATACAAAGACTCAACAAGCGAGGTTGGGGATTGTGAGGGGCAGGACTTGTTGCATCGATTGCGAAATGTGCTGCAACTGCAAGGACTAAGCATAAAGCTGTTGAATTGGTCTCTTTGGTTCCTTTCTCATTACATTATGTTTTCTTCTGTGGGTTGCTGTATTTTCAGTTGTTTTCTTTCAACCTTGAGGAGAAGATTGTTCTCAAGGAGTGGGGATTGTAACGATCAAGACTAAATGGTCATACATGTATTTATTGAGGGGGGTCTTTTGTAATTCACCTAGGCTATAAAACAGAATTGTGCTTGTAATGGGATTCCACAAATTAGAGAAATCGATTTGCTTCTCCTTCTCTATTTTCCCTTCTCCTACTACTCTGTTTCGACCTTCTTCTTCTTTTTCCCCTAATTCCCCTCTCAATTCTAATGTTGTGTTCAACTAATTCGTCGGGAAAGATCTAGGATCATCATAGAGATTTTGAATTAGGCAGTAGATCCAACTCGTATAGAGAATTAGGGATGTTCCCCCTCGGACCAATTCTTCCTCAATACTGTCTGGAACAGGGACCTGCTTACTTCCTCCTCTTGTTCGGCATTTTTAATTGAGAGTGGATGGTGCCAGTGGGTTTTCAAGTGAAGAGATGGTGGTAACTGGCAATTGATTTCTTGGTGGGGATTTGAGTTAGGAAGGATATAAGCAAAAGTAATTAACTTTGTGGTGGTTGTTTTCATTGGAGTTGATTTCTAAAATCTGAAGAGCTTTGAAGTTTATGCGATCCTAGCGGAAAGAGGGTGGTGGCGGCGTCGATGATGATTGTTTGCCTTTTTTTTTTTCGCTTCTTTCGTTTGCAAGAAAGAAACGTTGAAGGGCAAATGTGTATTTTTCTTCAAAAAGGTAACTTTTTAATTTATAAAACAATAAAAACATAGGGCACCAAACCATGTATTTAAGAAATACATTAATTTGCACAATACATATAAATATAATTATGATACAACAATTCTTCGAACCCATCAATTTAGACAATCACACATTCACAACCTCCAAACATGGTCGTAGTGTCTAGTGGTACTAGTAAATTGGTGTGCTAGCCGGCCTAGAATACCAATTCCAAGTCTCGATTCCAGCACCTTTTGCAATGAACACTCGAAATCCACAACTTCCCACAGATGACCACTCGAATATCAAAAGAAGATTTAGCCACTCGATTCAGTATTGGTTACTCCTCCTTCCCAGTCAAACAACAAAGCATCCCAAAACATTGAAACAACATTTCAAGTTGAGCCAAATTTTTGTATTTATCATCTCACAGCGTTAAGCCAAAGATTGTCATCCACCAATCATACACAAGACTCAAACCGTTAAGTTAAAGAGGAGACAATTACGAGGTCCAACCCCAACCCAGCACAAAAGAAGCTCATCATTCCTACTCACACCATCCATCCAACTCATACATACAAACAAAAGGCACAAGTAACATGAATCAATGTCAAAGAGTAACGTCTAAACACAGCCACACAGCACAAACCAATGATCACAATTCACAGACAGCTTGGAATGCATTCAAGACATTGATGACACACCAAACCCAACCAACCATCGAAACAAAAAAAAAAAACAAAAAGATCTTCATTTAACACAACAATCTGTCTGCACCGGTCAAAGGAAAAGATTTCATCATCTCACCCTTACTCACGCAGGATCAGACCCAGTTCCTGACACGAAAAAAAGATCACACCTTTATGGATTGGGTTGGAGTTGGACGGTTCTAACCCCCAAAATCTCTCAGGAATGTTCTGATATAATGTGTTGCATATCTAAACCATTCAAAATTCCAAATCCTAACAGCATTATCCACAAGCTAAACCATCCATAACAGTATGACAAGAACATCACACACGGATTGCAAAAGCTAAGAGGAGAAGGGATATACAGTTACATGGTCCCCTATATTGGAAAACCAGGATGGTCTTTGAGGAAACTGGGAGCATTAATAATTAGGTATGCTTTACTTTTCTTGTAGGGATCCAATGGCCATACCTAATTCAAGAACAACTTACAAAACAGTTAGGCAACAAGAAAAAGCAGAGCTCCAAATAGCAAAGCTAGCTCTTGCACAAGCAATGAGTCACACACAGCTTGGCTACTACTACAAAGAGAAGCTGATATAAAGAAGAGGAACACAGCGAATGCAACAATTGAAAAGGACAGGCATCATAAGAGAAGCAAAGGAACAAGTCACTGTCTATTAGTAAATGAGATTACCCATTATTGCAACTAACACAAGGGGGAAAGGGATTACATCCAGAACCCATTAAAGAGCTCTCCGTAAATAAGGCAAGGAAGCATCAAAATGCTGGAATCAACCACAAACAAGAACCAACTAGAGTAAATACAAGTGAAGCAAAGAAAGATTGGACTGAACAAACATGTATCCATTCCCATATATATAGAATCTGTGTATCAGAACACTTCAGAACGAGAACAGTTGAGAGTTTCACAATCCAAACAACCATATGGGCATCTGATCAAATCCATTTCCTGCTGCTCTCTCTACTGCCTAACCCTAACAAAAGAAGTCACCACCATCGCATAGACCTTTAAGAGGCTTTTAAGAGGCCTCTAAGAGCGCAAAAGCATCCAAAACCACAAGAACAACCATTGATTCCAAACATCAATCCAACACTAAACAAAGAGGACAACAAGCCCCCCAAGAATTCACCATACTAGATAATCCGAAAACAGAATAGAGAATAACAAAAGCCAATCACCAAAGAAACAGCTCAAATAACAGAGATCTGCAAACATGTGAAATCGCTTCACACCTTGCGGACCACTACCCTTCAGAGGAGTGAGAAATCAGCGCCCCCCGCTTCCGCCACTGTTGGGACATTCCCTGGCGAAATGCCCACTCCCACCACAGTTGTAGCAGCCGCCTCCGCCGCCGCCGCCACCACCTCCTCCGTACCTGCCGCCACCACCGCCACCGCCTCCATGGGGACAGTCCCTGGCCATGTGCCCAGGCTCGCCGCAGCTGAAGCAGCCACCGCCTCCACCTCCGCTACCACCGTAGCCTCCTCCGCGGCCTCCCCTGCCACCGCCTCCTCCGTACCCGCCACCACCATAGCCTCCTCCGCCACCGTAGCCACCACCGCCGTAGCCACCTCCGCCACCGTAGCCGCGACCGCCGCCGCCGCCGCCGCCTCTTCCACCGCCTCCGCTGCCGCCGCTGGGACCTCCCTGGACGGGAGCGCCGTTGGGTCCGGTCACGTCGATCGCCTTGGTACGGCCGTCGTTGGAGTCCTCGATCTGGTACTCAACCTCCTCATTCTCGCCGAGGCTTCGGAATCCCTCGGCTCGAATGGAGGTCTGGTGAACGAACAGATCCTCGGTGCCGTCGTCGGGGGTGATGAACCCGTAGCCCTTCTGATCATTAAACCACTTCACCTTACCGGTAAGCCGACCGCTCATCTTCGCCCGCCGCCGATGTGAAACACAAGAAACAGAGTGAGAGAAAGAGAAAATCCCTAAATCCCTAAAATCTGAGAGAAATGGTTTTCGATTTTTCTTCCCAATATGTGGAGAGTGAGGGGCAGAGAAAAGAGAATCTTATATAGGGAAGGGTTACGGTGCCACGTCGGCGGGTGCGGGGAAGGCGTAAATCGCGTGTGGAAGGGAATCGAAGCGACGGCTGCGGATTTTCCGATCGGACGGCTGGGGTTTACAGAGGAGTTGATCATAGCCGTTCGATATGGGTGGGGTGGGGAAGCCGTGGGGCCGCATTTAGCGGGCCCGAGGGATGGGTGAGATATAGTGTGAAAATAAGGTTGTCAAACCAGTTAAGTCCTCCAGACGATTTTATAAGAGATTTGAGGTTTAATGATCGAATTGAGGTTCGACCGGATTAAGCTCGTTTCGACAAAATATATGGGTAATTGATATTTTAGAGCCATAATTCCATCAATCAACCTACTGCATCACATCCTAATTTAGAAAAAAAGTTCTAATTAACGAACCCAACAAAGCCAAATTCCATCAATCAACCTGCTGCATCCCATCTAATTAACAAACACAAAAGGGTTCAATGCTCTTTCTTGCTCCCTTGCTCGCTTTCACTGGGGAAACACCGAAACAGAACCAAATTCATGGATGTTCTTTTTCCATTCTTAAAAGAACGAACCAATTTATGTATACAACGCAGTGCACCGCTGCATATTAATCACCATAAAAGTCGAAACTAACAAAATGAAAAGCTAATTAAGCACCAACTGCAAAAGCTCGGAGGTAACGTCGAGGCAGCGGCGGGGAGTGGCGTCGAGGCGGCAAGCCGCAAGCGGCGCGAGGAGTGGAGAGCTGGGTCGAGGCGGCGGCGAGCGGTGTCGATGTAGCGGGGAGCTGGGTCGACGCGTGGGGCGAGGAGCGACGGCGATGTGTGGGGTGTGGAGCGGCGGTGAGGTGCTGGTTGTGGCCTGTGGGATGGCCTCGCTCGACGGACAAAGGAAAAGCAAGGAGGGAGGCGAAGGCGATGGTGATAGGGTTAGAACTTACAAGAAGCTCCATGATCGGGCAAAAACGATGCCGCTTCCTTATAGCCGGTAGCCGGTCAGACCCCGGTTTTAGCCGGTTTTGACCGGCTTTGACCGGGTACCGGCCAGTTCAAAATATGGCTGATTCTGGCCCTTTTTATGCCCGGTTCCGGTCAGACCCAGTCGGACCCCGGTTTGACAACCTTGGTGAAAATACCTTCCTATCCCCTTTGAGATTTTATTATTATGAGAAGTTTTTTTTTTTTGCAATTTTCTTTTTCGGGTTTTAATCAATTTAGTATTAAGCAACCACGGGTCGACCCACTTTGACTCTAGCCTGGTGAGAAAAACGGGCCGCACGCAATTGCCGGGTCGACCGCTACAAGGTACCGGTTAGAGGTTAAATTGTATCATTTTTTCCTTGGTTTGCGAAATGCGCCTATTTTTCGATTTTTCTTTTTGCCTTTACACTATGTTTGGGAAGAGGTGCAAATGGGAGGAGGGTGCAAATGGGAAGGGTAAATACAGTTTTTAAGACATTTGCACCCGTTTGGATAATTTGTAACAGTAGGGGGGTGTAAAACGGTGGTGCAGAATTAATATTTCGGCTTACCCCCGAATTGGGGTGTAAGGGAAGGAAGGAAAGGAAGGGGGGAAGGGGGAATTATGGATTTTTTTAATTATATTTTAATTGTATTATAATTACTTAATAATTAATATTATTAATTTTTTGTTATAACTATCATTAATGTAGACGTTGTTCGGGGTTGACCGTTTGACTTCGAGAGCAAGTTTGTCAATGTTCGTCTAGTGAAATCGATATTTCTTGGTTGACGCAAATTTATATTGAAAATTAGAGATAAGAAGCGTTTGTGGAAAACATAGAGAGGAGCGGTTTAGTTTACTCAGTTTACTTAACTAAATAGGTAAAACTTACAGATTTAAATGTGTTTGACTAAGTTTGACCATATTCAATTTAAATATAGGCACGAGAACCCCCTTAAGAGGACCAGTTACAAGTTGGGTTTCGAGTTTCGAGGTCGCTCGACCAATGATTATTATTGTTGTTATAATTAATTATTATTTGATAATTATTATAGAATAATTGTTTTTATTAAAATATATTTATTATTTTTATATATTGATTTTTAATTTTATTATTTTCTGATAATATTTTATAAATTTGATAAATCTATTTTATAATAATATAATTACTTACTTTTCAGTCTATTTGCACCCCCTACTTTATCGTCCGAACAACAATTTACTCCTCTACTTACACCCCCCATCAAGTTACACCCCCAGCAATTTACACATCAACTTGCACCCCCCTCGAACTTGCACCCCCCCTTGTTGCCAAACATAGTGTTAACTCAATTTTTGAAATCCTAAGTTGAACATTTGAATATATATGTTATATAAGTGTATGGCCAAAGGTAACATAGCCTAGTGGTGAAACCACTGGACCAATTGAGCTCTGGATGTGGGAGGCCCTGAGTTCAATTCCCAATGGCGCCACTTGAGCGTTCCCGGTGGCACCATTGGTATCGGAGGCGAAGCCTCCCCGATGTTGGTAGCAGAAAGCCCGGGTTAGTATGCAGGTACCCCCAGTGGTTTAGTAGGCCCGGCTGTCGCTCAAGCGGCACGTGGGGCTGAGGTTCCCTGGGTTATCAAATAAAAAAAATGTTATATAAGTGTGTGTTAATTTTCACTATATGTTGGATCTAAGTACGACATGTTATTTTGGTGGAATATTATATGTTATAACTCATATGTTAGATTATATTTGATATAATTTATCGAGATAAGTACAATATAATGATTATTTTCATATTTTCGGGCTAAACCAGGCTAAAACTGGTAACACATTAACCCTTGAATCACTAGCTCGATCGGGTCTGAGACAGCCTGCGGATTGACAACCTTGGTATTAAGGCTTTGAAATTTTATATTATTTATTGGATTAGGGGTTGTAGATTTTAAGGAAGAGAATGATAGAAGACTGGTATAAGGGACAGTCAAAGCATCTGTATGATTGGACTCGTCAATACAATCTGTCCTTCCCTTTGGGTGGAGCAAGGCAAGGGGCCAAGGGCAAAGGCGTGTTCTTGTTCTATTCTTTTTTTTGCTCGTCGTTCTTGTTCTATTCTTATCCCAAAAGCAAAGACGTTTTTCGGAAAAGAGAGGAAAAAAAACACGCATACCAAGGCCATTAGTTCATAACACGAAGTTGGTCAAAGCTGGAATACATGATCAATTTTGGAGATGAATGGATGTAGGGGTGTTCAAACGGGTTGGTTATCGTGGTAATCGTTTTAACCGGTATTATTTGGGTAATTTAGTTTGATTAATTTGGATAATTGGTTTGGTTTGGTTAAAGTTTTTAGCTTGTTTGGTTTAGGTGGTTTGGTTTGGTTTCAGACACTTCTAACCAGTCAAACCAAATTAACCAGTTAATTAATTAGTCATATATCTAACATATATTATATACACATACTTAATACTTTGCATAACCACTCAAGAGTTAACGTTCATCCCTTTTAGACTCATATAAAATATAAAGCTCAATATTGCTCATATAGTGTATATAAAGTGTAGACCACAACATATGGACGCCTAATTTAGATAAATTTCATACATTATGATGGATGAAAACTTGAAAGGAAGGTCATTTCCAGCCTATGATAATTGCTAAGAGACTAAGTCAATTTACACAAACACAACAATTCATTAACCCATACCATTGTCATAAATTTTTGTTAGGTGAATACTTCTATACTAATCGTAAGATAATTGTCTTAGTTGCATGTATTTTTGTTAAGGGTCAACTATAACTACGTGTTGATTGTTATGTTTTATTCATTATATAAATTGCAAATTGTTGCATTAACCGGAAAATTTTCATCATCAATGATAATGTGATTTTATATTGGTTAATCTAGTTAACCAATTAACCAAACCAATTAAACTTTAGTTTGGTTAATTTGGTTGTTGTATTAGTTTGGACGGTTTGGTTATGATATTGTATTCCATGGTTAATGAATTTAGCCTTATTTAGTTTGGTTATAACCATGGTAATCATTTGAACACCCCTAAATGGAAGGATCTTACTTTTGTGCAGTCCTAACTTTTGAGTTAATCCGTGAATTGAAGTTTATAATAGGAGTTATATAATTCGCAACAAGTTTTATATTGAGTCAAATACTTACATTCATTTAATATCTTATTACTAGCGAATCTAGTTCTTGATAGGGCGTATATTTATCTCACTCATCTTTATCTTGATAATAATTATGCGTCCGATTATCTAACTCTATAGAAACCATAATGTATCTATAAAATGGAAAATACACATTATTCATAGTCCAAATTCTAGTCTAACATATTGGATTATGTGTGACACTTTTAGAGCTTCCAATCCATGCTATTGAAATCACTTGTTTTTGTATCTGAAAAATGGCCTCTAGCCAATAAACAAAAATCAAATTGTGATTATTCCCTCTGTAAAAAAATTATTCTTCTCAACCTTTTCCCAAAATTCAAAATTTGATAAAGAATCATTTACAGAGAATTAGTTACTTACCTATTCTCTTTAGGATTAGTGACTGATATGCTTATTGATTAATTTCAGTGGATATCAATTTAGGAAGTGTATCAGAATTTATTATCTTACTATAATTTTCCATAAAACTTTATCGTCAAAAAAAATTCCATAAAACTTTACAAGAACGTAATTTCCTTCTATAGATTATCAAGTAATATGGCTGTTTTTTTATTTTTTTACTTAGACAAATTACCATTCAAATCTCGTATTCACAGTTCACACAAAGAAATGGGAAGAATCAATATATCCTTTACGTATTTGGTATGAAATTAATTTCCAATTTGAATTTTGAGCTGTCAATAGTATTGAAATTAAGCAAATTTATGATGTAATAGAACTAGTAAGATATATGATAGTTAGGGTTGGGAACGGTGTGGTCTGGTCCAGACCGGATCATATATAAGGTCTACAGTCCAGATCAAGAGACTAAAGTATAGACCATAGACCAAACCACAAACTATACGGTCTGGTCAAGATAGACCACATTGAAAGGAAAATAAACAATTTGATTAGTCAATGTAACAAAAAATTGAACCAATAGTCAAGAAAAAGTACTTTTTTTCTTATAACATAAATTCCAATATGCATGAATAGTTTTGACACAATAAATCTCAGTAAATAAACAAAGATACAAAGTCAAAACATCTCAACTTGCAGCATAACGTCATAAACATTAACATAATTTCATATGGAGACACGATCGTCTTTACTAAATATGGTTGTGAATGAAGGAGAAGACAAGTTTCTCAAAATTAAGATTGATATTTTGGTGTCGTTGTGGGTGTTGGGAGAGTGGTCGAATGGGGTGCTTACAAGTATTGAGAATCTTTTGGGTTCAAGGTTTGGTCCTAATAAACCGCGGTCTAAACTAGACCAGACCAAGAGATCAAAACATCATATAATGCAGACCATGGACCAGATCAGACCATACTTAACGATCTACTGTCCAGACCAAACTGTTCGGTCCGATTTGGATCATGGTTTTTCAAACGGTCTGGTCTATTTTCCCACCCCTAATTATAGTGGAATGAGAAATTTGTTGTTTCATTTCAAATTTTCTATTAAGAACGAAAGTAAACATTTTTTTCTTTATAATTATTTATAAAAATATTAATATTGTGCTTTAAATCAATGTTTTTTCAAGCAAATACAAGAACCATAACAAATTATACTTAACTGACTTTTTGTGTCTTTTTAAATTAAAAACATACACGATACTAAATTCTTAAAATCACAAGGATTCTCCACCACGATTAGCTAGCTCGTTAAGTCCCCGGTAAGTATTTCTTAGGTGTTTGATACTTCTATTTTTGTATTTTGATTATTTTTATTCTAGTTTAATATTTAATTTAATTTTTGTATATCTTATAAATGGATGATAATCTCAATTTTTCAACTCAAATATAATTTATTTGAATATTACTTTTTTTCTTGCAATAATAAATATGCA